TTAGGTTATCAATTTCAATTCCATACGTCAGAACTAGATCGAGGGTATGGTTAAAACAGTGAGTGGGTTCATGTACACCCTGACTGAAGCCAATGGAGTCTAATAATGAGATAAACGCGGTAGCCAGGGAGTCATTATCAACGTCGACATGAATGTTAAAATCGCCTACAATAATAACTTTATCTGATTTAAGAACTAAACTGGATAAAAACTCTGAGAATTCAGATACAAATTCAGAATACGGGCCAGGAGCACGGTACACTATAAATATGAATAAGGAACTATACAAAGGCAATTAAAGCCAAAATTACAAGACACCTGTGCCCACAGTACCCTGTACATACTGTCTCAAGTGAAGTAACATAGTGGTGTGATTAGTCACTGCAAAGTCACAAAAGTATAGTTCATGTAAGAGTAATGTGATACCATCAACAGTATTATAACGGCATGAACTATAATATAATTCATCATTAAATAAATATTATATGTATTTGTTGTGCAATATTTCATAGTTGTGCAATGAAAATACCTCTTGTGCATCAGAGCCTCCAATCCATGCCGGGTGGGAGTGATAAGTGACTTGAGAAATCAGCCTCTGAATATTAAAGTACTCCTGGATGTTGTGAACAGACGCAAGGTTTCCACCCATGGACAGACAGTTTCTCTGCAGTGGAGACAAACAGAGAGACAGATGGACAGAGAGGAGTTGTCAAGGAAAGTAAGAATTAAGACCCCAGGTCACCAAATGTCCATGTGTATGCAAACAAAATGAGCTTGTTGTAGAAGCCTCCTGAGTCAAAGTCACCAATATTACCTCAGCTCTAGCCCAGGTCATAAGTGTTGGAACGTAGCGGTAACAGCGACCACCTAACAAAGACCAGCCCCAGGGACAAGCTGTCGATCTCTTGACCAGGCGACTCTCTGTGGAGAACCATTAGAGTTTGGTTAATGTGGGGTCTCCAGGGAAAGTCTCCATACTATATTAAATGGATTCATTTTGATGGCACAAAGACGCTACAACATAACATAATATTACATGACACAACATAAATATAATATACGTGAGTTAACATAACACAATATTACGTAACAAGACAAAATAACGTGTAAAATGTTCCCAGGACATCCCAGCTGACACTGGGTGAGAGGCAGGGTTCACCCTGGACAGGTCACCAGACTATCACAGGGCTGACACATAGAGACAAACAACCATTCACACTCACATTCACACCTACGGACAATTTAGAGTCACCAATTAACCTGCATGTCTTTGGACTGTGGGAGGAAGCTGGAGCACCTGGAGGAAACTCACACTGACACAGGGAGAACATGCAAACACCACACAGAAGGGCTCCCCGACCCTTGGGTTCAGACCCCCCACCCTCTTGCTGTGAGGCAACAAGGCTAACCACTGCACCACCATGGCGCCCCCACAAAAAGATAAAAAAAATGCGAAATAAATAAAAATGTAATAAAATTAAAAATAAAACGTTGATATAACTCAATACAACATAAAGTGATGTGTGATCAAATAACACAGAACAATGTGATGTCAGTTAATCAAAAACAATATAACAAAATAGTGCATGATAAAAAATAAAAAAAAGATTTAAATTAGTGAATATAAGACAATATACAAAATAACATATTACATAACATGATGCAAAATAAAGTAACAGTACACAAAATAACATAAGCCAATGTAACAAAATACAACAGCATGGTGTCTGGTAAATAACTCAAAATAATATTACACGTTTAGAAACACAATATAACATAACACACATTTACATAAGTGAATATGGCACTATATAAATATATATATATATATATATATACACATACATATATATATATACATATATATATATGTATGTGTGTGTGTGTTATTTCACTGTTTTCATATATTACATTGTTTTGAGTAATGATGTAATGATATTACATAAGTAAATATAACTTGATATAATATAACATGATGGTGTTTGATCAGACAACACAAAATAATATACAAAATTTCATAGTGTAAAACACAATATAGGCTAATATAACAGCATTTTTCAACACACTGCATAAAAAACAACATAACACTAAATAATACTATATAGAACTATGATTATATAACATTAGCAGTCATAATAAATTAAATTTTCATTAGCATTGTATTAACTAATTATAGGCCCATTTCTAAATTGTCAGTTCTGGCTAAGATCCTTGAAAAACTTGTTAGTGAACAATATTGGTGTGTCTGACCAGGCAGTCGGATGGTTTGTGAACTACCTCTCTGAAAGATCTCAATGGGTCCAGTTTGATGGGCTCTCTTGGTTAAGTGTTTTTAATGGTGTACCCTAGGGGTCCGTTTTGGGTCCACTGTTATTTTCTATCTTTATTAACCCTATGGGCCCTAGGTGTTTTGGGGGTATTTTTTACTGCCTTTACTTTTAAGTTCATATCACAGTCATTATAAAGGCTACATACACATGCTATATCTTGTTTTTTTTTCAGGACAATCTGGGCTAACCAGATATGCCATCATTCCATGTCCTTCTATGTGCCTGTATTTTATATTAATTTTTATATCAATGAAAAAAACAAATCCGTGTGACTAAATTCTTACATTTTTACATGTATCTCACCATAGCAAGTTGGAAGTTGACATATTCTGCCATATATGAAGAGGGGAGACTCTCTGGAATCTGGCAATATAAGAACCATGATGCTGGGACATTCTGTCACTTCACAGCTGTCCAAAACATGTGGCTTGTGCCAGGCGGACATGATTGCTAGTATTTTTTCATTATTGCAAGAAATTCCATTGACTCATTCACAAGTCAAAAATGTGTTTTATCTGAAAGAAACATGCAATATTTACATCTAAGATCATAGAAAAATAGTCAACCAAGTGCACTGATGTCCTCCAAGATAATATTTGCCACTTTGTTTGCAGTAAACAAAGTTTGTTGTTGTTGGTGGGGGGGCACGTGTCCCCCTCAATGTATATGGTGACTACGGCCCTGTCAGCATGCATAATTACGCTGCAGTTGTCTGGGTGCGCAAAGGTGAAGTGGCTGGTCTTGTCATACAAAGTTTGATGGAGTGTCAACTGGACAATATGGAGATATTTGCATCTTGAAAGCTGGACTACAAATGTGGATAGACAGGAAGAAACACACGCAAGCCTAAGACGTGGTAAGATACGATATTCCTCACTATATGAAGTGACTGATAACAAGATCTGTATAATGGATCGTAAAGAAATTCGTCAGGTTTTTATTTTGTAGACAATTGATCTGTATTTACAGCGTGATGGGATGACAGCACAATGATGTGTGTGGTATCATTGGAAAGCTCTGCTCCTGCGCTTTCATGTGATATGCGTGGTATTCCTGTGCGAGCCTGCATTTGCGAGTAATCCGTCCAAGAGTAATGTGTGTGCAGAGCTGCACGAAAGCTCTGTTATTCATGATTTTAGTGTAACTTTATCTTTTTTTTTTCGCGGAGGAAATCAATAGAGAAGAACAGGTGTGAATTTGGATGCACTATGCGTTGTTCGGGCCCATAGGGTTAATAGTTCAGGTTGTAATGTGGATGGAGCCTATTTTCATTTTTATGCAGATGACACTGTGATCTATTGTGCTGGTCCCTCCATTGCTGAGGCTCTTGCCAAACTGCAGGGTGTTTTTAATATTATACAGATTCAGCTTTCGCAACTAAAGCTGGTTTTAAATGTTGATAAAACTAAGGTAATGCATTTTTCAAATGCTCGTAAAAAGCCTGAGAACACTGCTGACATTATTTCTGCTTAGGGAAAGAAGTTAGAAGTTGTCTCCAGTTTTAAATATCTTGGTGTTTGGCTTGATGACTGTCTTTCTTTTAAACCTCATGTTGAAAATCTTCTTAAAAAGCTGAGACTGGAGTTAGGGTTCTAGTTCAGAAATAAGTCCTGCTTCTCTATGGAGGCCAGAAGGAGACTGATCTCTGCTACCTTCTTACCAGTTCTTGATTATGGTGATCTATTGTACATGAATGCATCTGCACGCTGTTTGCACATGTTAGATACTGTATATCACAGTGCTCTGAGGTTTGTTACAAACTGTAAAGCCCTCACTCATCATTGTACTCTTTACTCCAGGGCTGGGTGGCCATCTTTGACTATGCGTAGGCTCAGTCACTGGTATTTGTTTGTTTACGTATATAGCCATTCTGGATAAACTACCATCGTACATTTGCACTTTGATTGCTCAGAGATCTGACTTTATAGTCTGAGATCACAAGATTTGTTTTTATTGTCTGTCCCACATGCACGGTTGTTGATGCCTGTAGGTATTTATCATTTATATCTTAGTGAGTATCTTTTATGTTTGTGTTTTTTTCTGTCCTTGCTGGTGTTGTAAATTTATGCTGCCCTCTTGGCCGGGTCTCCCTTGAAAAAGAGATCACTAATCTCAATGGGACTAACCTGGTTAAAAATGGGTTAAATAAACATAAAAAGCATTTGACACAAAGCGCATCGTAACAACCACATTCTGTTGAAGTGAAAATCTTAAAGCCACTCACCTGTTTCATCTTGGGGAGTTTCCTCTGGAGGAGCTGGAAAGTTTGACACTGCAGTTATTGACTTGGACTGTTTGTGTTTATTAACATTTGTTCCGTATGTATTATACTCACCAGCAGCTCTGGTCAGAACCATCTTGGCACAAACAAGTGCAGACACAATCAGCATCTTCATGGTGACGATGACTACGAGAGACAGACGTGTTACTGAAACTTGTTTAGGGAACAGCCGTACTGACTGTCAGTCCTGTGAATAAAAGTCAGAGGATGATAAAGTTTGGTGCAAACCTGCTGCAGCACTTTCTTCCTTTTTCTTGTCTTCTCATCGCAGTGTCTGTAGATTCAGCGGACTCTGTGAGGAGGTGCTGATTGAGAGGAAAACCAGTTCTTATATACAGCCATTTATCTTAACATCTCTCAAAAACAGGGAACTGAGGAGAAATATTTGTCTGTTCCCATGAACAGAGGCAACATTTTCACAATACTCAGAAACTTATCAGTTAAGAAACATGCATGTGTCACAGTGATTCTGCTGTGCTGTGGTCCTTGCTGGGGTGACCACTGCACTTTGACACTGCCATGTTCCATTTATTATTTTGTGTCTACATACATGCAGACAATATGATTAACCTTTGAAAGTATTTGATGTAATGGAAAGATATGCAGCAGCTGGGCTAGTTAATCAGGTGCAGATAACACATACTAGCTAAGGAGGTCCCACGGTGGCCCTGAGAGCTCAACACACTTTAGAGACACAAAACAAGCAAACTATTAAAACATCTTCACCAATAAGACAATACAGACACAGCATTTAGAAAAAAAACACTGCAAACAGAGAACACACTGCAAGTAGCCTACAACCAAGGGGTAACCTCCGAGGCTGAAACACGTAGCCCAATCCCATTTCTACCCCTTAAATCTTCCACTTGGTATTAAGTGCCCTTGTTTGTGAGATAACCCTTGATAAGGGAAGTGAGAAATATTAGGGTAGAGATCTTTCCCTAAGAAATGAGACACCACTTCATGCAAATCGGCGTGGCCGACGTGCAGGCATATGTCACGTGTGGTAATGACGCAAGATACTGGTATCTCAAGGCAACTGAATCGAACGCAACTGGATTTAGTTTTTGTCTTAGAAGACGTTTCACCTCTTATCCAAGAGGCTTCATCAGTTCATGCTTGTCTGACTAGCCTCTGAGGAGGTCTTCACAAGGCCAATGATGTCACTGGTTCGTTAGTGCTCCAATGGTGTGTCAACGACGGTCGCTGAAACTCCTGCTGCAACGGTGGTCGTTGGAGTTGTTAGAGTCACACGAGGCCATTTGTGAACGACCATTGTTTTTAGAGGTTAAGCTGTTAAGTCTCCTGGGCAAGGATGAAAGGACAGCATTATAGGTGGGGGATAGGTGGTGTCGCAGACCTCCTCCTCTGTTGAGAGATGGTTTTTCCAATTTCACATAGATGGCTTCTTTTACACCTCTTTCAAACCATCTGTCTTCCCTGTCCAAAATGTGCACGTTGCTGTCTTCAAAGGAGTGTGCTTTCTTTTTGAGGTGTATATAGACAGCTGAGTCTTGCCCTGACGAGTTAGCCCTTCTGTGTTGGGCCATGTGCAGAGATCTAGCAGTTGGCATATCTGATCTGGACTGAGCTGGGTTCTGTCATGGAGGGTGTTGTCATGTAGCAAACGTTGCCTGTCTGTTTCCACTGCCTCCATGGTTGGAATGCAAGTGAACAGGGAGGTCACATCATAGGATACCATGGTATCATCTGGATCCATTTTTAAACCTCTTAATTTGTTCACAAAGTAAGAGAGTAAAACTGTGATATTGTAGGCGATCAATGGTGCCCTCATTCTGTAGTTTCTGTAGGCATTCTATTGTCTTTTTCTTGTACTCAGGAGGATCTTCAACAAACACCACATCCCTGTGTATTTCAAACCCAGTAACACACTCAGACAAAAACTGGTACATCCAAAAGACCGTACACCACACACCCAGAAGAGCAACCTGGTGTACGCTGTCCAATGCAGTGAGGAATGCCCAGACTTGTACATTGGTGAAACAAAACAACCACTAAACAAACGCATGGCCCAACACCGGCCTCAACTTCAATTTAAACCTGTAAAAACACAGAATAAAGCAGTTTCACGTTACATCAATGTTACTCACTTCACCCACCACTGGTTTTAATGTTTTGGCTGACTGGTGTATATAGAGTCTATTGCAGCTACCAGACAGGTTTGGACTTACTGCCCTTTTACCTCAGTGTTTGTCATTAAGCCTTATGGTGTGTTTGGATGTCAGATGTGTCTTTTTTCTACAATAATGACTTGGCATCAACCCTTACACCCAGCAAGGACCTCGCCCGTTCCTCTATTGAGCAGGCAGCATTTTGGCTGCAATCATGCTTTGGCAAAATGCTTTGGGGAAGTTTTGCCTTTATCTGTTATCTGTTTTTTTTCAAAAAAAAAAAAAAGTTAAAAGTTTTTTTTTTTTTTTTTATTCAATGTGCAATTAAATTTATAGCTCTCACCCAGTAAGGACTCATTGCATCCTCGTAATGGTTGAAGACATAACTTTTTAATGGCTTTATCTTTTAAGATTATTATTTTTTTGTTATGTTATTTAACTTCTCTCCCACCATGACTGTTATAATTCAAACAATATAATTAGTTAATGAACGCTTTACAGGCCGGTTTCTGTGATGTACCACTCATTTTTATACAAAAAACAGCCAAAAAATGAAATATTCTCTAGTTTTTTAGGTTTTTTTTTGGAGTGTGAGATTGAAAAAAAAATAGCTCTCACCCAGTAATGACTCATTGCGTCCTCATGATGGCTGAAGGAGCATGGCGTCAGGGTATTCTACTGCCAGCCCTGCAGTGAGAGCGTTGAAGAGTAACTTTTTCAGTAACTGTTTCAGCCAAGGGTTTACCCATTATTCTCAAAAAATTTACATGGAATTGAATAGGGGACTCAATGAGTCTTTTACTTTAATCTTACACTGTACAAAAAGTAAAAATGCATATGAACTAATATTCTGCATGAAAATTGACTGACCTCAGGCAGATATAAGTATTAAAAAAATATCCCTCCAACCTCTTGTAAACTGAAATGATTTCACTTTTGTTGTTGTCCTTTTTTTTGTATAAAAATGAGATGAGTGGTACATCACAGAAACCGGCCTGTAAAGGGTTAATTAACTAATTTTATTTTTTGAATTTAACAGTCATGGTGGGAGAGAAGTTAAATAACATAACCAAAAGAGAAAAATCGTAAAATATAAAATCATTAAAAAGTTATACCTTCAGCCATCATGAGGACACAATGAGTCCTTAACTGGGTGAATGCTATATTTTGTTTTCAATCTAACACTACGAAAAAAGTAAAAATGCATAAAAACTGATATTCCCCATAAACATTGCCTGAGCTCAGACAGTTGTAATCATTTTTAAAAAATCCCTAAAAAACTACAGAATAGTTCATTTTTGAAATATGTATCATAGAGAATGTTTAACATATTGGAAACACAAAAGAATAGTGAAGGATCACAAAAGCAGTTCATAGAAATAGTCCCTCCATAACCTTTCAGGGGCTCTGTGCTTTGTTGTATCTTTGACCATCCTGTATTCACTCCCAAGTCATCAAATACCGCCGCTCTGTCAGTGGACCTCAGTGTCAGACACTGAAGCACAGAGGCACCCTTTGCAGCAGTCCACATAGAGCAGTTGGGAGTGGAGGTGAATGGGTCAAACAGACTCTGGACTTTCACACGAAGGCAGTTATTAGTTTCCCGTGTAAACCAAAAGTCAATCGAGGTATTTCAATAGCAACATAGTGCAGTAGTCTGTGTAGCATGTTACGCTTGTGACTTACGTCACATGAAGTGGAAACTGAGGTGTATTAATAATTATGTGTATAATAATAGTAGAAGTATCCATCCATCCGTCAGTTCGTCTGTCTGTCCATTTTCATCCCCATGTACAGGGCCGGGTCACAGGGCAGCAGGCCGAGCAAAGCACCCCAGATGTTCCTCAACCCAGCCAACATATTCTCACTCCGACCTCGTCACATATTGACGTTTGGTCATGGACTTTCCACATCCACATACAACGTCCAAGGTACCCTGTGTGCGTTGGTTGTTGACACTCTGGAACATCGTGTCAGGTTCTGCCTGTTACATGCATTGTCCTCTTTCAAGATGACAATTTCCTGTTTTCACAGGAAATGTACAGTTTACATACAGTCTCTTTCAAAAAAAACTCACTATGTCGGTACAACACTGTGAATTGACTCCTTTTCCTTCAACAACAAACACACATGGTTGGGTTTAGGAAAATAGAACAGGGTTTGGCTTTCGAATCTTACAGGACGTGAACACCGCCCTCTCTGGTGAAAGTCAGTGTTTGTTGACAACTTCGGAGAGATACCAGGCTCCCCAAGCAATGGTTTCCAGCTCCTCCTGAGAAAACCAGGATTCCTTCAACCAGTGGGACATGCCCAGAACATCCTTAACAGGACGCATCCGGAGGGCATCCTAATCAGGTGCCTGTACCACCTCAGCTGACGACCAACAAGCGAGGCGTAGCCATGATCTGCTGGAACCTGCAAAAAATGGGAGCCCAAAGGCTCTAGGGAAGAAGCCAAGCTCATAACATGCATTAATTAGATCTTAGTGCGGCGTTTGACACTCTTGACCATCAAATTCTACTGCAGAGACTGGAACACTTAATTGGCCTAAAAGGTTCTGCACTAAGCTGGTTTAAATCTTATTTATCTGATCGTTTTCAGTTTGTTCACGTTCATAATGAATCATCCTTACGTACTAAAGTTTGTTTTGGAGTTTCGCAAGGTTCTGTGCTCGGACCAATCCTATTTATTCTATATATGCTTCCTTTAGGTAACATCATTAGAAATCAATAAATTTAAAAAAAAAAAAAATTCCATAAAATTCCATTGTTATGTGGATGATACACAGTTGTATTTATCGATGACGCCAGAAGAAAGTAATCAATTAACTAAACTCCATAACTGCCTTAAAGACATAAAAAATTGGATGAGCACCAATTTCCTGATGTTAAATTCAGACAAAACTGAAGTTATTGTTCTTGGCCTCAAACAACTCAGAGACTCTTTATCTGATGACATAGTTTCTCTAGATGGCATTGCTCTGGCCTCTAGCGCTACCGTAAGAAACCTCGGAGTAATATTTGATCAAGATTTGTCTTTTAATTCTCATTTAAAACAAACCTCACGGACTGCATTTTTTCATCTGCGTAATATTGCGAAAATTAGGCCTATCCTGACCCGAAAAGATGCAGAAAAATTGGTCCACGCTTTTGTTACCTCAAGGCTGGATTACTGTAACTCTCTATTATCAGGTAGCTCTAGTAAGTCCTTAAAAACTCTCCAGCTAATTCAGAATGCAGCAGCACGTGTACTAACAGGAACTAAGAAACGAGATCATATTTCTCCTGTTTTAGCTTCTCTGCACTGGCTCCCTGTAAAATCCAGAATTGAATTTAAAATCCTACTGTTAACTTATAAAGCTCTAAATGGTCAAGCTCCGTCATATCTTAGAGAGCTCATAGTGCCATATTATCCCACCAGAACACTGCGCTCTGAGAACGCAGGGTTACTCGTGGTCCCTAAAGTCTCCAAAAGTAGATCAGGAGCCAGAGCCTTCAGCTATCAGGCTCCTCTCCTGTGGAATCATCTTCCTGTTACGGTCCGGGAG